AAAGTTATTATGCGTCGTTTGCTGGCCCCCTAATGCTACTTAAGTCAAAGTGTATTTACCAGAATATTCGGGAGAATTATCACACACGTCTCCTTACGTGCAGCCCATCCATCATTTTAGGACCACCGAAATCACCTTAGCAACAAACAGTTCAATTTATTCACTTTAATAATGAGAAAGCAAAACGAAACGTACACTTTTCACGGGTTGCTCTGCGCTGTTACTTAAGACTATAATAAAGAATTAAAAAATAATGTTACTTAAGACAAACGCCATCTCCTTCCTGACTTAAGTAACATCGAACATTTTGAACACGTTTGCTTTATGGGAATTTACCATAGGAGTAAAGAGTATAAATCCCCAGATGCGTTTCTAGTAAAGTGTTACTGAGTCATCGTCAACGAAAATGATAGCTGCAAAAACACTCGTGTCGAGCTAAAGCCGACTCGAGTCATGTAGCCCGAGCATAATTCGACCCGAGTCATGCAGATCGATCAGCATGGTCACGTCTAACGTTGGTCTAACGCTAACATTTTTCCTTCTGGGAGGCGATATTTACAATCGACAAATCGCCTACGACGAATTTTTCTTCATTTATCGTCAACAGTCACTCGCCAGCTGGCAAAATAAATGGAGTGAAGGGAGTTTGGGACGATGGTTATATTCAATCATCCCTAAGGTGTCGAAGTGTCCTTGGTTCAAAGGTTTGGAGGTGGGTCGAGACTTCATTCGTGTGATGTCTCGCCTCATGTCCAATCACTATTCGCTAAGCGCTCACTTGTTCCGTGTTGGGCTGGGGGACAGTAATCTCTGTGAATGTGGACAAGGTTACCAGGACGCAGATCACATTATTTGATCATGTGCTGAGCACCGTGGAGTCAGATCCGAGTTGTACGATTCCCTTCGGGCTCGAGGTAGACAACCTAATGTTCCAGTTCGGGATATTTTGGCTAGACGCGATCTGGAGTTTATGCAACTCATATATGTTTTCTTTAAGAATATTAACCATAGATTGTAAGTTTGATTAACCTTGTGTTCAGTTTGTATTTTGTGTGTGTGTGTGTTTTTTTTTTGTATATGTGTTTCTGTAATAATTGTATAATTACAGAGTTGATAGGGTATACGTCCCTAACCTCGGTCTAATATGCAGCCATAGATTACGTTTTTAATCATAACTCATCAATTAATTTACCTGCAAACGATATTCTACTGCTAAATGGTATGCTTAGATATGCTTAGGGGCTGTCCATAAACTACGTAGACAGTTTAGAGGGGGGGGGGTTGACAATTATCCACGGCCCATACAAATTTTAAATTTTTTGTATGGACAATTGTCTACGCAGGGGGAGGGGGGGGGGGTCAAGAATCCCAAAAAACTGTCTACGTAGTTTATGAACAGGCCCTTATCATGTCGTTTGCTATCAGGAACCGCAAAAAGTTGAAAAACTTACTTTTTTTAAGACAAAAACTCACCAGGGAAATGTATGTAATATCGGTCTATTGTCCCCAAATTGGGTCTATTTATGGATGCAACTTCGTCCTATCCTGTTTGATTCTCAAAAAAAACGCTCTTGGTAACGTTTTCTTATGTATTTTTTTTTATCACTATCACTGTTAACTTAATACTCTTCATTCCTCAAAACATTTCTTAGAGAAAATTTTACGAAAACTACATTAAATCACTCAAGTTAAAAATTAAAAATTAAAAATTTCGCTTATCGTCTTTCGACCGCAGAATATCTAAATCAAAACATTGTGATGTTCATTATACAGATTTGGCAGAAAAAATCTCCCTTCCTGTTCGTTCCTTATCATCCAAATGCAAACCACATTGTTGACGTTACTCTTATTGCTATATGCTGTCAAATGAATTTCATGGGCCAAAGTTAGGAACATAGAAAAGAAATGTGTCCCTAAAGTTGGGTCCATGATTTACTTGTGAAAACGTTGTTAAACAATTAAAATAAACATAAAATATTCAAACAGTAACTGTGAGTTTTACGTCTAGTGTGTATTATCAGGTAATTCCATTCAATAAATGCCATAATCAGGCCATTTGATGATCGTCAGTGCAACCTTCCCATCTTAACCTTAGAAGTCATGGCGGCTAAAAACTCCGAACAGAGTGATATTCTCAACCAGTTTTATTACTTACGAGAGCTGAAAATGTATTGAAATGTTGTGATATAAATTGATTTGTGTGTGGTACACATTTATCAATCATCAGTGATCAATATTTTCCTTATTTTTTGTGTAATATTCCTTAATTAATTATTTATTTGCGTGATAGGCCGAATGAAAGGACTAGACCCACATTACATACCGTAACCCTATAACGTCGATAGGATTAAGTATATGTTTTAGAAAAAGTGAATTTTTTGAATCATACATCATAATCCAAATCTCCTTTTCCCTCTCCCGATCCAAACAATTGTCATCCACTAACCTCGAGAAGACCGCGAGTAATCGGTCAAATCCTTTAATTTTAGATTTAAGACATTTATAATGTATAAAGAAAATGATAACTTGGCTCTGTAAAGTTTATTCGATTGAGCCTGTACAAATAAAGTAATTAACAAAAAAAAAAGCATAAGACAGTTTGGACGATTAGAGCAGCTTACACAAGTCATTCACATAGATGATAAAAATAAAAGGACCGAGAGCACTGACTTGTGGTACGCCAGATAGAGTATCAAAGGTCCTGGAGTTTCCTGCTGTTTTGATGCTATATCACGTGATAACACTGACACATAACACGACATTAGGCTTGATGTCGTTGAGCGGTGATTCATAAAACCGTGCTGGTTGTTGCTGATGATCGGGACAGCAACTCTGCACAGAGCTGTGTGAATCAGTTTCTCCAACATCTTACTGATAGTGCAAAGTTTGGATATACCACGATAGTTGGTGACACATATTTTTATTTTCAGACTTATGGATGCCGTTTTACATGCATTTGGGAACGTTCTGTCTTGGAACGAGCGGTTGAAAATAGCAGCAATGGGTGACGCATAGCGGTACAGTTTTTCAGCAACACAGCAGCTAGCCTGTTCGTTTCGGGTCCTTTCATTGAATCGAGATCTTCGAGGGCTTTCTGAACTTCGCCTGGAGAAAACTGTGTGCATGGTGGATTAATGTTATCAGACGGAATCTGCTCGAACACATGTCGAAGAAGTGTGAACGCATCCGAAAATTGTATCTGACAAAAATTATCGAGCAGTCCCCTCGAATCAGACCAACAAATCAGATAGTCTAAACGAACCTTTAGAATGCATTTCTGTCATTTTGATTCACAAATTTGTTTTTCTTTTATGCTGCACATCTACGCTATTAACGGAAATGATTGCGTCTTAATCAAACTGTTTTTCAATTTGTTTACGCATCCACCACACCATAAAGTCGTCTGGATATTTTTTCAAGACTTCAGGTTGAGCAAGTAGTATTGTACTGAAGATCTCAAACTGTAAATCAATTCAAATCACATCTCCCGGATATTATCTCATGATGCTAGGTGGATCCGAAAATATTCCAAAAATCATATAGTCTGAACGTACAATAATACCGTGGATTCACTTGTATGACAAACTATCAGCATGAGCATTATTTGTATAACAATTATGAGCACTAAACAAAAACTATACACAAACTAAACAAGTGTGACCATGGATGTGCTCATAATTTATTATACAAATAATGCTCATATTCATAGTTGAGCATAGTTTGTCGTGCAAGTGTATCGGAGGCATAAGAATCAGAAAAGGGGTATCAGAACCCAAAATATAATGTTAAAAGTAGATTCAGAATTGAATGAAACAAAAGAGAGCGAAAAATACTGAACAGAGTTTTGTAAAATTAATTATCAAATGCTGTTAAGTTTAGTATAAAAGGGATTGATTCAGCAATGAAATTGATTATTTTCCTGCTCCAAAATTATGAATTTTAAAGGAAAGTCCCCCGACCAGAGTGAGTTTCATGGTGTGACCCTGCCAGAAAAGATTCTGTCGAATTGAAAGCAGTTAACGTTATGTAGGTTCATCGAAAAAACTTCATAAGTATTCAGCAATTAGCAGGAATAAGCACCGCTAATGGAAGAAATGTACCCTTCACGTGTTTACTCTTCACACTGTGTACGTCTTTATCCCCAGTCAGTGTGGCATTGTGCACTGTCCGGTTCCACTGATTCCTCAAAATCATAGTAGCCCTTTCATTGTTTAACTGTCAGCAGGTGTGGTAAAAAAACACCATAAAATCGCATAAAAATGGCTTTAGTCTGTCTTCCACCTCATAAGTACAAATGGACAAAGGCATATTTGCTGCGTCCTGTCGACAATATCGTATCGCATCCGGATGCCTTGATAAAACGTCCGTTCCGGCCATCGTATGAAGCGGTATAGTTCGATTTTCAGTCATAGAAATCCTACATCTTTCATTCATGTCATTCCCATCCACAGCATGGCGCGCCATACCTACCCTGTTTGCTCCGGTACGATTACTTCCGCATCTGGAAGCAGGAGCATTCCAAATTTCAAGCGTGGAAATCCGCCATGACTGAGCCACCGAAGAAGAAATTTTCGCCATACCGTAAAAAACCGATTCGGGGAACCTACTGCGGAGTGAGATGTGCCAAGCAAGGCCCACAGAAAACACAATTCGTTATGCAACAATTTCGTTGTGTTCCCGCCAAGGTGGACCACCGTAGAACAAGTTCATCCCCAGGACGTTCCATGCAACCTGATGTTTGTTGCAACAGTATGATTCCAGTTCCTCCGTGTTGCTGAATAAAATTTGAACTATCACATACATTTTTTTCATTCTTGAGTGTTCTTTATTCCTTTCCTGATATCGGTAAAAGTACAACGGTGTTCGGGCCGACACCCCTCGAAAGGACATGCGCGACCCAAGAGGAGCAGTTGTTGCTACAAACACATGATATCCTTGCAATCACGTCAATCTGTCAGCGGTACTGTCATTTGTATTAAGGAAGAAAAAAAATAGGACGCAATCGAATCTGATTACCATAGATAACATCTTCTCTAAACTAATTGCTGTGAAAAAAATAGAACCTAAGTAGAATTAAATTTGGCTGATTTTCATCACCAGTGGCGGCAACCAAATTGCACGCTCCCAAATCAACCAATGACCAATGGCCAAGATCAGAAATGTGTTCAAGTATTCTCCTTCGCTTAGTGCAGCGTGAAAAGCATCAAAATACAGTTTTTTACTAACATTTCACAGAAAGCATCTCATACCGAACCTGGAGAGCAAATGTCGACTCTGCCTCTCGGACAAGGCGATCGTCCAGTCCATCTTCGAATGCGAAAGCAAGGAAACGACCGATACCCTCGTGGATAAAATCTTCGAGTGTACTGCAATTATGGTACCGACCCTCAAAATATGCTAATTAGCCTTTACCACCTAATTAGTCCTGTTCTGTTTGCACCTCTTTCCACAGCTTTCCAAGGACTTTGACTTTCCGTCTCCGATTTGCGAGGACTGTGCGCTCAAGTTGGACGAGTTTTTGGTATTTAGGGCGAAATGTTTGCGAAGTAACGAAATTTATAGATTCAACAAGATGCACAAATCAAGGCTTGTAAGTGGTGCACTGAAGTCGCAGCAGATCAACGGCAATATTCCAATGGAGGCGCAGGATGGGAAAAAAGACCGAGAACCACCGGACGACCATAAGCGATTAGTAGAACCCAAGGAGGACCAAACTGACAAGGATGTGATAGCCACTAGCAGTAGCAGTGACGGAGCGAATGTTACCGTGATTAGCAACAGTGAACTGCCAGGGATTGTTTGCATTCCCACGAAGGATGACGTAGGAGACGAGAACCCACTCGAATGCAATGGAAATGATCCGGAGACCAGTGAATTGGATGGACGGAAATCAACGGATTTTTCAGTTATAGACGATGGAGAAGGTACCGATTTCGATTGCATTTGCTTTGGTTACACCTTTTCACCTCGCTTCAGTTTTAGCAACGACCATGAGTGAACCTTTGTTGCCAGTGAAGATTACACCCAGGCCCAAGTTTATAACGAACGCAATCGAAGGTATGCGCTTTCCTTTGGAAACGGTTGAGGAATTGGACTGCCTGGAACGTCGCATCCGGACGTGCTCCGTTACCAAAGAGAAATTTGTAATAGCAACATCCTGCTCTAGTGTTGAATGAGTGTAAATAATCGTTAGAATTTTGGAACATTTTCAGATAACTTTGCTGAAGTCGCTGAAAACGCATGATACCTCACTGAGCGATACATATCAACGTCTGTTCACGGATGCGCTTATGATTCATTACAATTACGATGGCATCTCGCCCAAGTATAACAAGCGGCCGCTCAAAAGTCTTTCCATTTTCACCGAGTGCATGCCGGGTGAGTGTATTCATTAACGCTCAGATTCATAGGTTAAGAGTTAACCGCAACTGCAGCCTGCATGATGACAATAAGCACTTTAGTTCGAAATTGGCGCACTAGATTGTGCTAGGTGTGCATAGAAAAGTTCGGTTTAGCGTTATAGATTAGATCTATATTCTGATCAGATAGAAGGCAGCCCTCAGCAATGTTGTTCAAGACACAATGGCAAAAAGTAGAGAGAGTCGAGTTCAGAGCTGGTAAATATCACGACCATCATGTGACGATGAGAAAACAGGTCCTCTCACTATCTCGAGAGGATACTACCTATCATAAGCTTTCTTGCAATTTTTCAATGATCAAGCACTCATGAGAATTATTATTATGCGGTTTTGACATCAATATTTCTAACTGATTTAGATGAATGTAAGCAAACAACCGTATGTAATCGGTACACTAAATATATTATTAAGATTCCCTCGGTACTAGTAACTTTAATAGCAATAAATGAGTTAGTAATTACGATGATCACAACACTGTCACGTTCTATCATGGAAAAAATTCGATGAGATTTCGAAGAAAATCCCTATCATGGTTTTCTTATTTATATTTATTTCTTATGATAGTGACAGAATTATTTCTGTAAATATCGCGTGAGATCTTTCATTGAAATTGATATTTGCCAGCCCTGGTCTAGTTAAAAGTATACTTCCTATTAAGGCATAACAGCTCCTTTCAAATGAGCAGTGTTGGAAAAATATCAAAAAATCAAACTCATCAGCCCCAGATCACACTTGATTTTCGTAGACAAAAATCAACAAGCACACAACTGCGGTTGATATTGCAAACTGTGATATTGCAGCTCGCAATATCAAGTTAACAAAACTCACCAGCTGCAAATCTAACCAAACTGTGGTGATATTAAATTTCATGAGTTTTGCTTTACACCCGAACGCAACCGAAACTTCCATAACGGCTAGCAGCAGTCGCTCGTGTCTGCCTTCGGTGAAGATAAAAAAGAGATAGCATTATTATACCTTCTCTTTCTAAGAAAACGAGGTGCAACGGAATCATTTTTGCGTCGATTCAACTCTTCAACTTCAACTCTTCAATTGAGGCTACAACTTCAACACGTTGTGAATAGTCTCGCAATATCAAAGGAGCTTGTAAAATCAATATCAAGCGTTAAATTTTGCTCCAATATCACGCGTGATATTGAGAGCGTATGAGAGCGGAAAAATATTAATTTGCTTATGATCAGGCCATCACTGCGAATGAGAAATCAAGCAAACATGTGACTATTAAGCTGGGTTTAGACTAGGCAAGTCAAATGATCAACTCAGTTGAATTCAATTGACTTGAAAAGTTGAGCCTGGTTCAACTTTTTTCAATTCAAGTCAGTTGATCAAGTCAGTTGAATGGCATGGTTTACACGTTCAATGCGCGTTCAAGTCAGTTGAATTCAACTGACTTATTCAATTGACTTGCCCTGTCTAAACCGAGGGGGCGACACATCTAAATCTCAATACTAGATGCTCAAACAATTTCACACTAGCGAATCAATCTTCGAAAACTCTTCTTTCAGTTTTCGCATCTACTTGCATCTAAAGGGTGATACGGTCAAAATTTGGTCAAGGGAAAACGCGTGTAAATCGGTGAAATCGTTTATTTAAAAAATCAAATTAAATTTCTTTTTCAAGTTCAATTAGTATAAAATTCAGGAAAAATATTCAGTTAGGCTTCCGCTTTTCCAAATCCGAATTGCCGGGCCTTACGCTTGACCCCTGCCATCAGATTTTGTACAGCCACCTTGTCCACCTTCTTCGCCGCAGAAAGCCAGTTTGCCTTGAACTGCTGCTCGCCCTTAGCAGTTTTTTTGGTCTTCTTTAGGTTCCGCTTGACAATAGCCCAGTATTTCTCAATTGGGTGGAGCTCTGGCGTGTTGGGAGGGTTCTTGTCCTTGGGAACCACCTGCACGTTGTTGGCGGCGTACCACTCCATGGCCTTTTTACCGTAATGGCAAGATGCCAAATCCGGCCAAAACAGTACGGAACAACGGTGTTTCTTCAGGAAAGGCAGCAGACGTTTATTCAAACACTCTTTCACGTAAATTTCTTGGTTGACAGTCCCGGAAGCTATGAAAATGCTGCTTTTCAAGCCACAGGTACAGATGGCTTGCCAAACCAGATATTTCTTTGCGAACTTTGACAGTTTCATGTGCTTGAAAACATCTGCTACCTTTCCCCTTCCTTTTGCCGTATAAAACTCCTGTCCCGGAAGCTGCTTGTAGTCGGCTTTGACATAGGTTTCGTCGTCCATTACCACGCAGTCAAACTTCGTCAGCATCGTCGTGTACAGCCTCCGGGATCGCGCTTTGGCCGTCGTATTTTGTTTATCATCGCGATTTGGAGTCACTACCTTCTTGTAAGTCGATAGTCCGGCTCGTTTTTTGGCTCGATGCACGGTTGTAGACGATACACCCAGCTTATTTGCGGCATCTCGGAGAGAGAGGTTAGGGTTTCGCTTGAAACTACCGGCAACTCTCTTTGTCGTCTCAGCGGCTTCCGGTTTTCGATTTCCCCCGATCCAGACTTCCTGGCTGTCGACAAACGTTCCCCAAACACTTTAATTACATTTGTAACGGTTGATTTGGCAACTTTTAGCGATTTTGCCAACTTTGCGTGCGAGTAGCTCGGATTTTCGCGATGCGCGAGCAAAATTTTGATACGCTGCTCTTCTTGCTTGGACGGCATTTTGACAACTGAAGAGTGAATTCCAAAATCAAAATAGGAGCAACATTCTACACACACACACCTTCAAAATGAGGGGTGTTCAGGTTTTTTAAATGCAAAATTGAAAGAAATACGTCAAGTTGATATTGACCACATTTTGACCGTATCACCCTTTACTTGTATCTTTTTGCAGGAAATCTTCAGAATCGTCATTAATCTTCTTTCTATCTATTCAGCGTGCATGCAGCTAGCCACAGCAAAACACAATATTTCCTGCAACGTAGATAGAGTCGTAGATAGACGTAGAAGGGCCGATGATTGAAAATTTTCAAACCAAAGCTAGGCCCTACTGGTTGAGGCAGGGCCGATGATTTGTTTTGAATTTATTTGACGTTGCGAAAAGGCTTAGCAAAGGGCGTACCATTGCTGACGCCAACGAAATGACGTCATCGAGCTATCGATCAACTACCCTGGTTATCGCCTGGTACCTTATAGCACGATGCTAGGAGGCGAACCGGAAGAATCGATGAGCTACATCCCCCCAAAAAGGGCCTATCCATTGAAAGATTAACAAAAAGGCTTATTAATTTATGAAATTAAATTGTTATCGATTTTCATATATTTTTGAATGCTTTTCGCATATTTTAGATGTTGTATACTGATATACAGTTACTATTGTTATTGTGAACTATATAAATGCCTAAAATTCTTCAATTTTCTTAAATATGAATTGAATAGTGGCGGAAAAATTTAAAATTCATTTTCTGGTTTGTTTACGTTTTGGATATAGGCCCATTTCAAATGTTACTCTAGATATAATGAATTAGTAAAAGTGAAAGTGATACAATAGTAGTACAATTAAAATGAAAAACAACGTAATAAGGTATAAACATATAGAAAATTTGCTGAAGACGACATTTTTATTTTTCAATAGCTGCTTGGAACGACCACCTGGACGCCAACATGGTACGTGAAGCAATAATTGAGGCTGTGAAGAAATCCCATAATCGCTACAATCAATGCAGTCATCGTAAAGTAAGTTCGAAATCCTTGGTCGCAAATAAAATAATATTAATTTGTTTTCGCTGTCATTCATTTCAGCGTGCAAGGTATGCATAATATGGCAGATGTAAATAACCATTCCTTGCCGAATAATTTAGTACTATGCTTCTACACCTTTTTTTTCAGCTACGAATGGTTATAGCTGATGATACCACACTAGCAAGGACGAAGTGCGTTCGCTACCAAGAACCTTTCAGTACACATACCGGAGAAAAAAACAACAACAACATAATTAATTGCAAGATGCAATCAGTAGTGATCAATTATGCGTGTGTAGGTAAATTTTATGAAAACGAAACCAAATGTAATTCTACAAATAATTAAAAGAGTATTATTGCCAAAAAAACAAACGAGTAATAACGGAATCCATAGTTAAGGCGATAGTTACATTTTAAACTTTCTTAACATTCGAACCCGTATTTATACGAAAATGCAACCATAATGGAACAAAACTCTGAAAATGATATGATAGCTAAAAAATGAGATAATACACGAATGATGATGGCAAAGTATAGCACGAACTAGGCGCAATTAGAAAATATCAGCAAATAAAGCAAAGGAAAATGTTCTAAATAGAGTTCTATTTTAGGGAGAAAAAAAACTGTAACACAAATAGAGACAAATAGCAAACGAGACGTCACAGATAAAATAAACTTTGTTGGAAAATTTATCGTGAATCTTATTTTGGATTTTGCAACTTGTTGTAAACTATTTTCTACTAGTTCTTATAAACCCAAATCAGATAGCATCTTTCCAATTCGACCTATCCTAAATGCATATTTCACATCGAGAGAACGTGGACAGATTATGGCGAAAAAATATTGCAGCAAGAAGCTGACGAAAAGATGTTACCAACCACGATTAGAGTACTAATATGAAGTGTTTGAGCAAATAAAAGTTGAATATTAATATCAAAAATGGCAGCCCTGACTTCATACCGTCAGACGGAGTTTCTTTATTAACACTATGAATTTAACACCACGCAATCATGTATCTCGAGACACCACCATGAGCCCCTGACTATGCCTCTACCAACAATCAATACGAAACTAACGATTTTAAATTGGCTCACCACTTTAGTAGCCTATTGGTCCCAAGCAAACGATTAACGTACCCTATTCTAGTCGAAATTCTAGTACTACGCAATGTTTGTTTTGATTCGCTATGAAAGTTTGACAGATAAAATGAGGGGTTATTGGTTTTTCCTATGTTTCGAGGGGTGAATCGATTAGCTTGGGACCGAAAATAGTACCAGAGCTGAGCCAAAAAGTTGAGCTCGTTTCTTCGGGACCTTCTGGTCTTAGAGTTACCTCTATGCCTCTACTGCGATGTTCAGTCGGATTTCAATCCTGCTCTTCCTTGCCAATTTCGTTTCCGCCCTTCATAGTATGTGGCTGACCAAACTTCACACATATATCCCAAGTAACCACCAACCCCACGAATGCAAAAAGTCCAGCCAATTTTAATTATTTTTTTATGAAGAAGTAATGAAATTGGGTTTGTTAACGGAAAGCTAAAATAAAACAGCAAAAAATGTTAGGGATGGTCCATTAATTATGTCACGCAAATTTGGCCCATTTTCAAAGACCCCCCCCCCCTCTGTCACATTTTTTGTATGGATCTTAATTTTTTTTTGTATGGCTCGTCACAGTTTCCAAAACCCCCCCCCCTACCCCTTAAAAGTGTGACATAATTAATGGACGATCCCTTAGCTTCCACTTAATTCCACTTAATTAATTTTGGTATCCATGACAGATACGTATTTCGACTACAATGTGCAGTCTTTCACTGAAAACAGACCCATGGTAACCCACACGAAACGAAAATTAATTATTCTATTCATGTGTTTCACTTATACATTTTTGTCAAAACATCAACCTTATACCACAAACGAAGTGACAGACGACTAACTGGCGAAGAAATCCATTTAAATAATGTGGTTCACTGTAATAGAATTTTCTTGGAAGCTTGTGCCATCATCCACCAGATGGGTTAGTTTTTTTGTTTTGATTTGAACAAAGTTGATTTTGTGTACAATGATTCTTTGGCAGTGTGCAAAGAGTGTATCATTTTGTCATTTTTTTTATGCATTTCAGTTTTGAGTAGAGTGAAAGAGATAGAACCAAAACATTCTAATACATTTGGTAAAAATGCTAGTATACAATCCAGTAGTAGTGTTGCCATGTGATACAATCCAGTAGTAGTGGTGTTGCCATGTGGTACACTGAAAAATTGAAATAGCAGGTTAGTCACCAAAGTTTTCGAGCCGCTCCGTCTGTCACTTCGTTTGTGCTCATACATTCCATAAGACAAACCACATTCGTCCTATAAGAACGCATAAACGGTATGTGTGATCATTAATATATTTCATTTGACACATGATCTTCATTAACTTTTTGCAAGGCGTCTGCTTATTAGTTGACTTATAGGGTTACGGTATGTAATGTGGGTCTAGTCCTTTCATTCGGCCTATCACGCAAATAAATAATTAATTAAGGAATATTACACAAAAAAATAAGGAAAATATTGATCACTGATGATTGATAAATGTGTACCACACACAAATCAATTTATATCACAACATTTCAATACATTTTCAGCTCTCGTAAGTAATAAAACTGGTTGAGAATATCACTCTGTTCGGAGTTTTTAGCCGCCATGACTTCTAAGGTTAAGATGGGAAGGTTGCACTGACGATCATCAAATGGCCTGATTATGGCATTTATTGAATGGAATTACCTGATAATACACACTAGACGTAAAACTCACAGTTACTGTTTGAATATTTTATGTTTATTTTAATTGTTTAACAACGTTTTCACAAGTAAATCATGGACCCAACTTTAGGGACACATTTCTTTTCTATGTTCCTAACTTTGGCCCATGAAATTCATTTGACAGCATATAGCAATAAGAGTAACGTCAACAATGTGGTTTGCATTTGGATGATAAGGAACGAACAGGAAGGGAGATTTTTTCTGCCAAATCTGTATAATGAACATCACAATGTTTTGATTTAGATATTCTGCGGTCGAAAGACGATAAGCGAAATTTTTAATTTTTAATTTTTAACTTGAGTGATTTAATGTAGTTTTCGTAAAATTTTCTCTAAGAAATGTTTTGAGGAATGAAGAGTATTAAGTTAACAGTGATAGTGATAAAAAAAAATACATAAGAAAACGTTACCAAGAGCGTTTTTTTTTTGAGAATCAAACAGGATAGGACGAAGTTGCATCCATAAATAGACCCAATTTGGGGACAATAGACCGATATTACATACATTTCCCTGGTGAGTTTTTGTCTTAAAAAAAGTAAGTTTTTCAACTTTTTGCGGTTCCTGATAGCAAACGACATGATAAGCATATCTAAGCATACCATTTAGCAGTAGAATATCGTTTGCAGGTAAATTAATTGATGAGTTATGATTAAAAACGTAATCTATGGCTGCATATTAGACCGAGGTTAGGGACGTATACCCTACATTTTATGAATAATCAGCATTGAAAATTTGCCAAAAGGTATAAGGAGATTTCTATCCGTGCATACTATTTCGTAGGTTAAAAATTAAAACAAAATAGTACTAAATTTCGGTAGAACGAATAATGTATTTAAAATAAATACTGCTGTTATTGATTTTACCATGCTGCGTAAAAACAAATACAAAAGGGATTAAACAAACAACATTATAAATTACAATTCTTTTAAACGAAATTGTAGTTAATTCTACTGTTAGTATCGAAAATATTGTTTTTAACCATATATGCGGTAAGTTCATATACAGTAAAGTCTGGAACGCGCAAAAATTGGTCAACTTCATATTGGTGTATTACCATAGAGGTAACTCTAAGACTAGAAGGTCCCGAAATAACGTGCTCAACTTTTTGGCTCAGCTCTGGTACTTTCTTCGGTCCCAAGCTAATCGATTCACCCCTCGAAACATAGGAAAAACCAATAACCCCTCATTTTATCTGTCAAACTTTCATAGCGAATCAAAACAAACATTGCGTTGTACTAGAATTTCGACTAGAATGGGGTGCGTTAATCGTTTGCTTGGGACCAATAGGCTACTAAAGTGGTGAGCCAATTTAAAATCGTTAGTTTCGTATTGATTGTTGGTATTACTGTTAAAAATGCATAAAAAACCTGAAATGCTGCATTTGGAAGTTGAGTGTATATACAATGGTTGCTATGATGAGTTTTCACCGTTTGCTTTCCAGTTTTCAAAATGACGTCCAAGCAAGAGGAGCAGCATGTCAAAAATTTGCTCGCGCTCACGCAGCAAGAGAATCCGACGTTCTCACACGCCAAGTTGGAAAAATTACTGGATCTGGCCAAATCGACCGTGACAAACGTTTTCAAAGTGTTCGGAGCGCGTCTGTCGACCGCCAGGAAGCCTGGAAGCGGCGGCAATCGTATCTACGTCCAGGAGTGCCTGGAAAAGCGGCTGCTACCATTGCTAAAGTAACATAATAGACCTGTGCTGTTCTGGTTGGACTTGGCGAGCTGCCACTATGGGAAAAAGGCAATCGAGTGGTATGATGCGAACAACATGGGGTACCACCAAAGACCGCAACCCTCCCAACAGCCCAGAACTCCACCCTATCGAACGGTATTGGGTCTTGATCAAACGGAATCTAAAAAAACTAATAAATCCATTGAAAACGAGCAGCAGTTTAAATCTAGATGGCGTTCGGCGGCGAATAAGGTCGATGAGACCACTGTGCAAAATTTAATGGAAGGTTTTAAGTGGAAGGCACCGTAGAATAACTCTAGTATCAGTTTCGAGGATTTACCATTTTAAAAGATGTTCTAGATCTTGCAGAGGACGGTCCCATGGCCTTCTAGGTACATGTTTATGTCTCGACCGAAAATTAATTTATATATGACAGTTCCAAGTGTTTTCGAAAAAAACCGTGGAGCTCTAGGATCAGTTTCATGAATTTTCCGCTTTCACGGAAGTTCCGGAACTTCCGGAGGACGGTCTCATGGCCATCAAGATCCATGTTTATGGCACGACCACAAATTTATTCTATCATCTCAGTTCTTAGTGTTTTTAAAAAACTGCGGAGCTCTAGGATCAGTTTCATGGATTGACTTACGGATGTTCCGGATCTTCTGAAGGACGGTCCCATGGACATCTAG